TTCTTGACTTTTTTCCCTCTGGTATTTACGGCATCACCTCCTTCCTTCTGACTTCTCTTTGGCTTCTCTCCCTTCACCCAGATCTCAGATGACCTGGCCACCCTGCGTCCATGCTCAGCTTCTGCCTTTTCCATCTCTGTGTGTCCTGGGGAATTTCACCATGCTTACAACTTAACTCCAAAATCCTCATGAATATTTATTTCTAGCTTTCTTCTGAATGTCTCCATTGGATGTCCAACCAGAAACCACCATTTCCCCAGAAAAACTCTCCCCTTTTAATGCATTTTTGAATTCTAATAACTGCATAATTGTTCACTCGGTTACTCATGCTGGAAACCTTGAAAGTATCCTGACCACACCTTCCTACCAATCAGTCCCCAGTCCTATGGATCCTACAGCTGACATGTTTGGAATTCCTCCCTTCCTCATCCTTCTTCCTGCATTGCCTTGCACAGGTCTCTGTCATTACCTGTGTGAGATTCTGTTGCAACAGCCTCCTAATTGTTCTCCCTGACTCCACCCTCTTCACACTCCAGACCATCCACTTCCTGGGTTAAAACCCTCCAGTACCTCCCTGTTGTGTATAGCAACATGGAACGATGGCTAAGGTTCACACATACAACCAAAGTGGCAAATTTCTGGGTCTGTCTGTTATTAAATATTTATGTAAAAATATCTCAGACCGCTTCCCAACACCCCGTGTGTGACTTTGATGGAGGTAGTGAGAGTTTCTCCTGGACACTGCTTGCTCCTATGTATCATAGATATGCAGCCTCACTCCCGTCAATGGACTGTTACTGACCTCCTGAATGAGGAGCAGGTGAGGCACACTTCTCCACTTCATTTCTTTTGCCAAAGCAGAGCTAGTAGTTACAGAAAGACTATATTGATGGTTTCTGAGGAAAAAAAAGAGTTATATTTATTTACTCATTACAAGTGTTTATTGTAAACAGACATTCTTGGACCTACCCAGAGAAATCCATGTAATCGTTCCCCACTTCAGTCCTTTCTTCTCTAACACTTGCCTCAACTTATATAAATGTAGATTTTCCTGGGTCTCACAGAATGTAACCATTTTGCCTCATTACCCTTCCCCCTGCCTTTGTTTTTTTCTATATGCCTTTAAATACTGAAACTTCCAAATTCACCTTCAGAAAAACAGCCACAGCTTTGTTTGTGGTTTGCATTTTTCCTGGGCACACCCTCAACTTTGGCTTAATACACCTCCATTAATGAAGTCTTTGCCTCAGTCACTTATTTTGAATAGACACATCTAATCTATATGCACACTCTCCCCTGTGCTACCAGTCCTGTCTAGATTACTTATAGTACCTAATATACTGTAAATGTTATGTAAATAGTTTTTATGCTATATGATTTTTTAAAAACTTGTATTACTTTTTACTTAAAATGTTTTTCCCCAACATTTGTGATCTGTGGTGCATTACATCTGCAGACAGGGAATGCTTGGCTACAGGGCCCACAGTGTATTAAAAGCCTCAGAAGACTTAGTAAACAAAGCAAGGTCAAGAGACTGCTGCAGTGAGAAGGAGGGCACAAGTGTAACTTAAATGGCTGAGGCAGGCAGGCCTCTTTGAGGGATGGTCTTTGACCACAGATGACTTGAAGGAGAAGAGAAAGCCCAGTGGGCATTTGGGAGAACTAGTACTTGAGGTGGCATGAGTGGCATCCACAAAAGGCCAGAAGAGGGAGAGTGCATGTTGTATTTGAGGAACAGTGAGGAGGTCGGTGCCCGAAGCAGATTCAGAGAGGTGGGGTCACAGGGGAAGGTCAGAAGGGAAATGGGGCTAGGTTGGTAGGGCTTTCACTGAGTGAGGCGAGGGCTCTTGGAGGGTGTGTCAAGCTGGACTGGGCACAGGAGGGACATAATGTGCCTCTGTTTTGAAAGGATTCTGAGTGCTGTGTTGGGGACAGACTGGCCGGAGGTGCCAGGACAGAAGGAACTTCAGTTCGGTTGTTGAGGTCACAGGTGAAGGAGGATGGTGCCTCCCACTCTGGTGGTGATAAGAGGCAGGCAGTGTGTGTGGATTCTAGATATATACTACATGTATTTTTGAAGGTAGAGTTAATGAGTTTCTGAATATGAGGGAAGAGAGGAATCAAGAATAGCTCTAAGATTTTTGGCGCAACCAGCCAGAAGAATGGAATTGCAACTTCCTTAGATGGGGACGATAAGCGTTAATAAGCTTGGGTATAGGAGGAATGGGAACTTTTTCTTTGGCACGTTGATGTTGGGAAGCCTGGTGGACGTTCGCTGGAGATGTGGCATGCACAGCTGGCTCTCTAGGAAGAAGGGTTCAGGGGAGAGCTTCAGGCGTCAGACTCCACTATGCAAAGACGCCACTTTGGCATAAGGATGATTTGGAGCTGAAGGCAACTGAGAAGAAGCAGACATAGGAAGAATGCTCTGCTCTTATCTGCTGAGAGCAGGGTGTAAGTTCTCGAGGTGCCTCCCTCTCTAGACCAGGAACAGGAAAATAACCTTTCTCAGCCGAGGAGACAGCCCCAGGACAAGTTTGCACAAACCAGCCTACGCAGCCCTTACCCACCATTGGTTTCCTCCTTGTATTTGCTGCCCACAGTTTACTGCCCCCAAACCCCCTTTCCTTTATCTAGACACTTCTCCCCAATTTATCACCCTTTGTTAGGATGGTTTATAAGCCCTGGTTCTGACTATTGGTTTTTCACTCCTTTTCTCTAAAACCCTGTGAATGGTAAAGATATTAATATAAAAATTGGTATACTTTTCTTCTGTTAACCTGCCTTTTATCAGTTTAATTCACAGGCATGAAAGGACAGAGAATCATTTTTTCTGTCCCACAGGGTTATCAGTGTGTAGATGGCATCTAAGTCCAGGAGCCTGTTGTCCACTTGCCTCCCCTGCCCGCCCCCCAGGACAGGCGAAGGCGTCTGCTCCTCTCCCTGCCTCTCTGGTCTCTTCTTAGTCCCCTTTGCCGGGTCCTCCCAGTGCTGGGTGCCCCGTGGCTTCCCTAGCTCTGTGTACGCTTTGAACTGCAGCAAAGCACAGCCCACAGCTTAACTCAGGAGCCGTGGGGCTTGCTCCCTGGCTGCCCTCTGGCCACCTCTGTGCTCCCACAGCCCTCCACCTCTCTTCACTCTTTTCAGGGAACTTTCCTCCCTCTGGTCTCTTCTGTCTTCTGGGCTCTGTCACTTCTCTCTGGGGCTGTCTCTGAAACTGAGAATTTTTCCTGCTTTATCGAGTAGAGAAATTGACCTCTTCGCCTGATATTAGATTCCTTTGGGCATAGTTTTGTAAATTGAAAAATTCATTACCATGTTCTGCTAAACAAAGAGTTCTTCAATCTGGATCCCTTCTCTGGTGGACTGATGAATAGGTGAGAACCTGAAAAACTCAGTTTCCTGGGCTCTAACCATCTCAACAAATGGAAGGAAATAATATAGAAATATATTCTGACCAGACTTACATGAACTGGAAGCTGATAGGTTTAGTTTTTT